TATATATATATATATATTTAATTGTCGATCAACTCCATAATCTAACCGATGGGTGGACCCCACTTCCAGAAGGCGTGCAATTCAATCCTAGGCAGAGATCAAACCCTCGACCCGAGGGACTTATACTAAATGATGCAACCAATGAACCAGGCTAAGGCGCACACACACACACGCACGCGCGCGCGGGCCCACACACACACACACACATACACGCGAAGTTGAGTTGTTAGACCTGTAAAATTAACTCGTATGTATGCAAATTATCCTGATCATAAAACCAAGCGCTTCCAAAAACTACATAAGTTCGGTTTCTTATGAGTCCATTGGGCTTAACCAAGCGCTCCCAAAGACTTCATAAGTTCGGTTTCTTATGAGTCCATTGGGTCCATTGGGCTTAACCAAAGACTACATGTTCGGTTTCGTATGAGTCCATTGGGCTTATCCATCGCAACTCTTATGGCTGGACTGTTTACGGTGACATAATCCAACGCCTTCAATAAAATAGAGTGATAATTAGAAACAGATAACACGAAATATTGATATTTACAAAAAATAAAAATAAAAAATAAAATAAAAAAACACCCTTAGTGATATTTTTGAGCTTCCGAACCTACGTATTTACACGTGTCACGATCAAACTATTGATAATCTCATAAAAATGAAAATATTAGTTGGGGCTTTAGCATGAATTTTATTTGAGTGAGAATTTGGAAATTTGATGAATGGGTGGTTGATTTGTAAATAGCAATGTTTCAGGTGGTCTATTAGAAAAAAAAAAACAATTAAATTTTCCATCCATAAATTTGAGAATTATGTATTTAAAGCGTATTGATATATAATTTATATTCTATATTATTTAAGAAAATTTAATTTTTTTTAAAAAAAATCTTCAATGCAAGTTGCATCAATTAATGCGAATTCTATATTTTGTTAAACTGTCAATGTTAATGCTCTTTTTTTACTCCGGGAGAAAAAAAAAAAAAAACAGTCTTTGCCAAGAAGAAGTCGGAGTTTGATTTATGGGCCATATAACATCAATTTTATTGATTAAGAAGTTTGCCGATATGATTTTATATGTATATTATTCTGAAAGATGATAGGAGCCCTTAACCAACTTCATGTGTCATAATCACTCGATCCGGCACATATGCGGGCTCAAACTCGTGACCCAGGAGACTTAGAATTGACTTCGCAGATGACAACCAAAGTGTCACGGCTATAAAGTAAAATGTTTAGATTATGAAAGTAATGTTTTAATTTTTTAGAAAATGAGACCGAATGAATCTCATTAGTCCAATAATTTGCATAATTGTTTCTGACACCCTGAATACTATACATTTCAAGATAAAAGTGTAGACCAGGTAATAGACCCATTACTGCAAATTAAGAGATCTGTAATATCTCCTATCTTTTACTTTCTTTCGACTCCTGAAAATATTGTTCTCGCTTAAGCCACTTCCATTTGTCTTTTCCACTTCCTATCTTGGGCGGGCAAAATTAAATAATTAAAGTAAAATAAACTGTTTTTATATTCCTGCAATTAAATTTTGGTTCTCCTGTAATTATTAATATTTAAATATTTTTTAAAAATTTAAATTTGTTACGATTAACCAGTCAAAATTTCAGCAAAAAGACTTTGACTATCGACGAAGAAATCTGAAGAACGGACAAAGAAAAGAGAAAATTAATAAAACGGATAAAAAGCAATACTAAAATGAGAAAATTCGCCCCCATAATTAATCGCATATTTCACGAGTCAATGCCGCATACGATTCACGTACGGGAAGATATAACCATTCATTAATTGATAAATATTTCACATTTTATAATTCTGAAAGTATTTATTTTCTTTCTTTTTAAAGATTTTTTTTTTTGTTTTCCTTTGCTAAAAATCAGATCTTTAAACCTAATTCTTCTCCTGAAAAATATTACATCATGACTCCGAATGCATTCAGAGTCCAATGGTCGGGCACCACGTGTCAAACGGGTCTCACCATTCTTAACACTGGCCAATCCAATGTACTCTGATAGAGCCCACTTGACATGTGGCGTCTCGCCATTGAAATCCTAACGCAAACTAAGTAATATTCTCTCAATTCTTTACATATTATTTGGGGCATTTACATATATACCACCTAAACTTTATTTTTTATATTTATGCTGGCAAAATCTTACATATCACTTCATAAATATCACAATTTTACATTTTGAAGCATAGGAAGGAGTCATATCCAAAAAAAATTGAACTTGAAAATACATAAATTTGAGTGGTATATATGTAAATCATTCTTATCATATTAATCAGACATCTGCAGGAAAAAAATAATCATTAGCATTCTATTGTTTATAATAATATTGAAATGAATTATTAAAAAAATAAAATCATTAAAGTATTTTCTTAAGTGCTCGACATATAAAAAAGATAGATTTTTTTTAAAATGATGTTTACTTGAGAAAATAAATAAAGAAGTCGATTTGTTTTTTAAATTCTCTTAATTATTAATTACCAGCTAATAAATTATGCTTAACTGACAATTGGGTAGGTTTTGTCTTTATCTCGTCGCTAACGCAATATGTTTTGTAGTATATTTGTCTTATGCATGAACTAAAAGGCCGGTGTCAATATATTTAGGGAGATTTACATGCGTGCCACTCCTTTTTTATTTATTTGCATATATAATATTAAAACTTCTATTTTTACATCCATACCACATTATCTATGCGTGAAAAGGGAAAAAAAAAATATTACATAAGGACTCCGCACGTAAAATGAAATCACGCTATAGGAGAATATTCCCGGTAACACAGATAACAAAGAGGAATATTCCTCTCGTACTATTTAGATATTATTCTGTGTTATTCAAGCGTTATTGATGTGTTATTGTGTTATTATAACACCAGAAATATACTAAGTACACAATAACACATGAATAACATAAATAACACCTGAATAACATGGAAGAATACTCTTCTGGATTACCTGCGTTACCAAGAATATTCCCTTGTGGCGTGATTTTATTGGAGGTCAAGTTTTTTCTAGAAATATCATATTTAGTATTGTTGAATTTGATTTATCGAGAGGTTTAGTCTGGTGGCCACATGGTGATGAACAATTAGCTAAAATTAGGGTTTACGATGTGATTCTAGAAATATCAGCTTGACTGGAAAGAACATCGACTGCAATAAATTTGACGAAGGGTTTCAAACTTCTTTTGGTGCAGTTTGGTGCATTTGTCTACGTGGACGCATAATCCACCACAAAACATTTCAATCAGTTTGACTCGATTTCAAATGAAAAAGTCGAACGGAAAGAAATGTCAAGGACATATATATAAATATAATATGTTGTTGGTTAAGAAGTTTTTAGTTAATGCAAGAGTTAGATGGAGGATTATGAAAGTAATTGTTATAGAGGTTAGAACATTCTATAAGGTCACAATTATATGGGTCAAGCTTGACCGCCATTGACAAATGCATCATTAATTGCATGATTTGGCACTGCGAAGACTATTGAACAACATTTATAATGACAAACGTACCATTAAATTTTGATAATTGAGTGAGAATTTGAAAAAAATGAAAGAGAGAAAGTGTTAGATTTGTAAATAACAATGTTTTGAATGCTATTTTATGTAATTGCCGCTCATAAAAATAATAGTTGACCACAATAGCTTTTTTCTAATTAATATGAATATATTTGAATGAAAATTTTTTTTAGTATTTTTCTTTCTATGAAAAAAAGACATTTCATATTTATTATTATTTACATTTTTTTTAATATTTACTTATGTACCACTCAAATTAATATCTGAAATCACATTAGAAAATCACTGTTACTATTTACTAATTTCTTAAAAAAAAAAACTTATTATTATATATAGATTTTTATCAATATGTATATCAAATACTATTAATACATATGTTAATAGATAAAAAAAAAATATTTAGCATGTATGCAAATTTCCTAAAAAGAAAATTAAAGATGGCTCAATTTGAGTCATAAAATATATTTGTGCTTTATCTAAAATGTAAATGAAATGAAAGATGATGATGCACAACAATTCATAAATTACATATTGCTTATTGCATCCCACGTTTCACTTTTGCATTTATGAGTTTTATTTGTTTATTTATTTATTTATTTATTTTCTATTAATAGAAAATAACATTTGATGGCTTGGTCAAACAAGGAAGGCCAACCCTTTTTGAGAAGACGGCAACCTTCCAAGTTCCCATTCCCGGAAGCCGGCCACTTAAAAAAAAAAAGGAAAAAAAAAAACTTATTTTGAATAAAATTTAATACTTTTAAATTTATTTTAAGCATTAATCTCAATAAAAAATTATAGGATCTATTTTAACTAGGTTTTAATTTGAATGTTGTCACATATATTTTGAATCCTAACGTACAAGGCCAAGGAGATTGCTGGCTTAAAACCTTAACGTACAATCTTAATGAGCTTAAAAAGTACAAATTTTAATTCAATAAATATTAAATCTTCTTAAAACATTATCTCAAACGCTTACCACAAGGCCGAGTGTGTTGCTAGCTTAATAACTCCAAATTTTATTCTAAATTATTATTATTTTTTTCTTTTCATTGTGTTCTCTTTGAAGGCTGTAATCTAAATTAATTGTCCTAATATATATCTCTATTTAGCCTTATAGTACTCTTTTTTTGACAGCTGCGTTGTCGATTATGAATCTCCTGGGGTCACAGGTTCTAGTCCTCTTGAGTGCATTTGACTTGCAGCACGGGATCGAGTTGTTATACAGATTGAGGAGGGTTATGGGCTCGTATCATAACATCCCGCCATTCTTTTCTATAAAATAAAATAAAATAATAAAGTCTTATAATCTCCTAAAACTGGTTCTAGCGACCGATTTCTTCCACATTAATATCTCCATCCAATTTTTTCCACAATAATATCACTATCCCATCCCGAACACCCTCTCCTCATCTGCACTCTTTAAAAGCCATAAATAAACCATATAAGGAAAAAAGAGGGAGGCCGGAGACTATACAGACCACCAAAGAGTAAACAGGGATGGAAATGGTGGCTCCAGTGTCGGAATTTAATTTTCACACCGCCATGAATACGCCGTACATCAGCGCTCCGTCGAGCCCCCCAAATAACTTCACCGACAGCTCCTTCTTCGAATTCAACCACCACCGAGAGCACCACCACAACAGCGCTCCTAACAGCCCCACCTCCTCCGCCGCCATCTACGCCGCCTTCCGTAAGAACTCCGCCGCCACCCGCGGCAGCCGCCACTCATCCGTCCCCTTCGACTGGGAAGAAAGGCCTGGCAGGCCCAAATCCTCCGCTTTCGATGAAAAAGATGACTTCAACTTCGATTTCGATTTTTCTTTAGGTTTCAGCGACAAGATCGCTCAGCCATCGCCGGGGAAAGTGGATTCCTTTCTCGCCGCCGACCAGCTGTTTGAGTTGGGAAAGATAAGGCCTTTGAAGCCTCCCCCGCGACTCTACTCGCCGGTGATGGGAGAGCAGATCCCGAAGTCGCCGAGGAGCGGCGGATTTCTATCTCCCCTGCGCAGGGGAAGAAACCAACGGGACAAAGAATTGGATCCTTTCGTTCTGGCCATGGTGGAGGCGACGAGAAGCCGAAGGGAATCGAGGTCGTTTTCTCCATTCGGAGGCAGGGGAAAAAGAGGAAGCTTTATGATTCCTGGATCATCTCCGCCTCGCAATCCTTCAGACATGGCCGAGAAGGGTGGGCGAGGTTGGAAGTATCGGATCAAGGAATTTCTTCTGTTCCGGAGCTCGTCGGAGGGAGAAGGGTGTGGAGAAAGGAAAAAGAATGATTTTTGCGACTATGGAAGTTCGTTGTCCTCATCTTCAGCGTCGTCGAATTCCTCAGTGTCGTCGGAAAAGGGGAAAACAAGATTTGGTGTTGCCCGCAGCCGGCGGCCGCGGCGGCGGATGCGGGGAGTTGAGCTGCTCGAGCTTCGGGACTGAGGACACGGCGGTGATGATCAAGAAGAAGACGGTGGGGCCGTACAAGCAAAATACGTTCATCGTCCGCAGCTTCGCCGCCGGGAAGTTTGCTGCGTCCTTCATCCGCCGTCGGAGTTAACTCGACATGATGTTTAATTTGGAAGAAAATATTCGTCCAGTGATCTACGAGCAGCCAATCATCGAGCGTCGTCGTCATGATAAGGATGTGAGGGATTACCTGTGTTGAAATTTTTTTCTAATATAGCGATTTTTTTTTTTTTTTTGGGTGTGATATTTGATCTTAGAAGGGATGTGTAAACTAATATAAACATATATTTGTATTATTTTGGCTTCTATAATTAGAAATATTTGTTGAAAATAAAATTAATTATGAGATAAGCATAAATGCATAATATATAGAGAATTAAATAAATTCTGCGCCACACTTAATTCAATAATAAATATTTTGGCTCCCATTTAAATGGAAAAATTATTCCATACGGATCAGACACCTCACGCAGCTTGCGTACGTTGTCCGATTCGGACCATAAATCACTTGATATACGGTCCGGATGTATTTCGGTGGGCCCCACCTAATTTTTTTTATTTAAAAAAAATAAAAATAATCCTAATCGTAGATCACCGTATTCTACAGTCAGGATCAGACACCACATGCAGAGATGCATGCAGTGTCCATACGCAATAATTTCTCCTTTAAATGATGAGAAGATTGTAATTCAACTATTTGGAAATTTAAAAAATAGACGTGTTAGGATAATTTTATGAAATTTTATTTCATGTAAATCATATTGGACCTAATACAAGGGAGTTTGAGATTAAATTTTCAAATGATATTTGAGAAAGATTATAGCACATTCAATCAATATTTAAATAAGATTTGGATAGTTCGAGAAATAATAACACAATAGATGATTAGTTTGAAAGAATGGAGCACAATCACCATAGCCAAAAAAATAATTTAATACAATAGGTTGCATTCACAATAGTTATATCACAATAACTAGTTGGATACATTAGATTATGGTCATAATAGCCATAACATAATAACATGTATGTTTTGTATTATATTGTAATTTTATTGACTACAACACAACAGACAACACTTTTATATTTTAAATTGCAATCATGATAGTTATAACACCTAAAGTTATGATTTAATCCAATAAAGTCAAAATAACTACATCAATAGAATAAAGGGAGTAAATAAAATTTATTTATTAAACTAAATAATTAGTTAAAGGGAATTAAATGCACAGAATTTGCTTTGTTTCTAATTGAATAATTCTATGTTTTCTTACTTTTTGCCGATGACCCTATGGATATATGATGATGTGTATGATTTATGCAGTACTTAGGGTTCGTTTGGGGCAGTTTGTGCGTTTCAGGATAAGCTGCTTATCCTGAAATGCGGCCCACAGGCTGACCGCAGGGGTCCACCCGCGGCCTGCGTTTAGTGTAAAAACCCAAACACAGTTTCGAGTTTCAGATAAGCTGGCGAAACGCGCGAACCAAACGGTACGGTGGCGTTTTGAAAACGCCGCCCGCACTTATAAGCCGCTCCAAATGGACCCTTATAAATCCAAAAAACACATTCTTTAAAATTAAGTAAATAATGTTTTATATCTCATGCACATATAATCTCTGCTATAAATAAGACAGGGTACTTATCAATCTATTTGTGTTTCTACTTCAATTCTTCTTAAAATTTTAAATGGTTTATCTTATCACAACCTTATGAATCTCATCTGTGCTAGACTTACAAGGATTTCTATATGAGAAAATTCCTACATATACTAAATAACACTGATAATTCAAATAATTTAGAAAATCACTTATAAAATGAATTCATCAATGTATGTAAGATCCACAGTACAATATAAGACACGGCATAATCATATTAACTGTACTGCAATATAAGAGAGATCATGTAATAGCTTTACATGATCACTAAGCATAATTCCAATTTATATTTTTATACGATATTTTTGTGAGCTTTTAGTTTCTTTTGGATATTTTTATATATTTAGATGTTTATTGTATAATAAATCCTTTGTTTTTAGTATAAAGTTCTCTTCTCCAGCCATCATAAGATATCTTATGTATTATAGCATTATGGGACACCAAATTTTAATATGAATAGCATATCTGAGCACAGCATATTAACAAAAAGAAGAATGATGTGTGCACAATAAATATTCAAATGTATAAAAATATATTGAACAAAAATACAAGCCAAAAATGTCCAAAAATGACTCGGTTGCTTTCCGCTATTATTACATTTGGAGCTGTTCACTTGACTCTGGTGGGCCTTAATCTTTCTTATCTAACTCATGTTTATTTAAAAGAAATTAAAATTAAAATCACTCACACACAACAAAATGCAATGGACGACTAAGTTCTAAAAAAATACACATTTAACCATCAAATGTTTCTCAGCCCATTTCATAGCTACTATCAATATATATACTCATAATATTTCAAATATAAACTTAGTCATTTGTAATTACAGCTCATTTCATTGCGTATAATCAAAAATATATTTTCCAAACCACAAATAAATATAAATATATATAAACCCTTGCATTTATTTCATACCGAAGCAAATAACTTCAGAATATTCTACATACCAAAGTAGGGCTGTAAACGAGCCGAGCTTGAGCGAGCTCAAGTTTGGCTCGTGTTCGACTCGTTTGAAATAGCTCGTGTTCGAAATCGGCTCGTGAACAGTATGCTCGTGTTCGGCTCGATTCGGTTCGATTTAAATATTCGTGTTCGTGTTCGGCTCGAAATTGGCTCGTTAAACTAAAATGGAGAAAAATAGATGCAAAGTGTGAGATTTGAACCTGGATCAAGTATATACAAAAGAATGCTAAGTTAACGAGCTGAACACGAACTCGTTTTGGCTCGAAATACTACTAATTCATTATATATATATATATATATATATATATTTCGAGCTATTTAAAGCCGAACAAAGAGAGAATAAACTATTATTCGTGTTCGGCTCGTTTACATTTCGAGCTTAAAAATTTGTTCGCGTTCGACTCGTTAGGCTTAATGAACGAGCCGAACACGAGCTGCTTAACGAGCCGAACACGAGTTGTTCACGAACAACGAGCCAAATTGACAGCCGTATACCAAACAGCCCATTAAACAATTTATTGCAGCAAATGTATACACCTCTTAAACAGCACAGTAAAGTCAGACAGAGGTTGAAGACACGAAGAAAATATAAAAACCATGAAAATATAAAAAAGGGGATCTCTTCTCCAACAATAAAAGGAAACTTCAGGACATAGAAAAACCATTATATGTACATTGAGACACAGACTTGTCGGAAAAAGCGAATATAATATATTATAATTGCAGGTTGGGGGTGGTGGGGGGTGCTGTTAAGAATCACAGACTGTAAAACTTTGCAAGATAACTAATAAAAATTGGTAAGAATTTGAAATAGAAAGCTCTGAAACTTAAAAACAGATTGCAAAAGCTACAAAAGTCTTAACAATTGCAAGCAAAATAATTTGAAGATTCAGTTGAGAAAACAAAAATCATATTGACACTCAACCTTATGCCAAATAAGATCAATTTGTGGTCCTCTAATTGCTCATCTACTCATCTCCTCCATGCTCCCTTCACAATAAAGGCTCATTTGGATTTTTCATTTTTTATTTTTGGGATTTAAAGGACTCTTTGCAAGGCAGCTCTAAATGACAAACACAATAAAGCAAGAACTAAATGTGCCTAAAATGAATACATTTAATTTTTTTTTGGCAAATTTACATACATACCATAATCTCTATATATTTACATGTCTAACAATTAAAGTTTAATATTTACGTTTAACAAAAATATAACATCAAGCAAAATCAACAAAACGCTGGTAATATTTCCTTAGATCATTTGTACATAAACAAAGGTGGATAAAAATATACTAAGTGGAAACAGGAGAACTCATTAAAGCACAGCTGTGACTTCCAACAATAAAACATAGCTGTCAGTTGTCACTGCCAGTGGCCGACCGGAATGGCCGCACATGAAGAGGAAATCTAAAAGGAATATTTACATACAAGCCACTCGATTCCTAGGTATTTACATCTCTGACACCTAAACTACAATTTTAGAAGTATAAATAGTGATATTTTTTTATGTGATATTAAATAATTGGGAGGTATAAATGTAAAAAAGTAAGGTTGAAATGTTAGATATGTAAATACATAGGATTTGGGTGTTATGCATGTAAATGCCTCAACCTAAAGCTACACAAGACTTCAAAAAGTATGAAATTGAGAATTGCAAGACATACAGTAACAGCGATGATTCTGAAGCAATAACAAACTAATAAATTATTTGTGTTTATTTTATGGTTATAACCTTTTTGCTGTTTTTTTGTTTCTTTTTTAAAGCAAATGTGTGATCAGAAGCTTTTCGTGATCGAACACCTATCATAAAGGAAGACTATCTAATCGTACTAGCAAGAGAACTTCATGCTCTATTTTTGCAACTTATGCACAGCATCTCGCTTAAAATATGTTTGTCTTTTCTTCTATCTATGGGGATAGTAGATAACCAAACCATATCTCTGATTTAGAGTTCAGATCAGTGGATGGTTAAGATTCGTGATTATAATTTGAGCATTGACTTGTGAGAAGACCAAAGAGGTAGTGATTTATGAGATTTGGCCGGTTCTATTTATTGATGAAGAATGTCAATGGTGGCGTTTCTGAGATCACATCATTGAAATAAAAAATGAAGTTGGTGGGAGATAAAAGGTGAAGAAAGATCATCTTTCAAACTCCTTATGCTTAAAATTGAGATGATGACAATCTAAATAGTTAGTTGATGATCTAGAGGACAATAGCACCTGAGGATAGATCAACCAAGGGAATCTCATAATTAGGATTAGAAAAGTTACAACTTGATTTCTTATTTTTATTTTTTTTGGTTTGCCTTCTTTTGAATTCATAATTAGGACTTAGTGTTTATGGAGTTAACTTATGAATTTAGCCAATTACTCTCCAAAACTCCTCTGTTTCCTCTTCTCCATCTCTCCAAGCCATCGATCATTCCTATTATGATCAAATACAAAAATGCTCAATCTCTCTGACTAATATCTAAACTCCAATGCCTCCATAGCACAACTCACCTTCAATGTCAATTATCCAAGCAAGCTGCAACCTACTCAGGTTCA